GAAGCTGAAGGCGATCGTTGAAAGTATTCAGAGTCTTCTTGAGTTTCATAAATTCAGAGAAGCGCTCGCGAATGTAGGTTTTTTGCAGTTCTTGGAGCGAACCATTGGCAGCCAACGCGGCGACGACAACACATTCGGCGGCTTCCATGGGTGTAGTCATTGAAACTTGTTGTGTTTTGTCCTTGTCAAATCGGACGCGTTTGTTATTCGGAGGGTTACCGGTCGCAGACATAATTTCTGAGGCATAGTACTCATACGATTTAATTCGAACAAAGAACTCGGTTTCTACTGGCGCCCGAGTTATTTTTCAAGGTTCGGGACGACACAATTTGGAGTGCTCGGCTAGTAGCGGCCCTATCGCGATAGTCGTAAGATGTTGGAGTTTTATTTATTTATCGATCGCTATCGATACAGCGTTGAGTGTCGCCAACTCGTGCTGCCCCCGGTTCACCTCCTTTCGTCGTCAAGGAGCTTTCTTCGGAACCAAGGGATCCAAATCTTTCAACTGGTCGAACAGCTTCTGTGGTGGAAGTCCCGCTTGAAAGGTTCACCTTCCCTCGCGAAGTAAAACGCCGGACCTACACCAGACGCCCCAGGAACGAACTTTTGTTGTGCAAGCAATTGATTCAGGCGCGCCTGCTTTTCCTTTTTCTACTTTGGGATTGCATCGGTTCCAGTCCAACGTTAGGACCGTCCTCAAACTCAGGGCGTACACAAATTAGAGTTCGCAGGGTCATCCTACCTGTAGTAGACTTGTTTGCTTGCATTCACCAGGGGTTCTAACTCGCTACTCCGGGCAAGTCAAGTCGCCGGTCCTCCGTGCTGTGTCCCTTCCTACCTATCAGCTTGGCCGGTGACCAAGGATTGTTCCTGTGCTCAGCTTCTCACAGGATAGGGGGGTTAATCGATCTATAGCAAAGGTCGCCTCTGACTTATTATAGTTTTAGATTATCTTTTTTGAAGTCAAGCTCTACTATTGCTCCTTGTCGTCCTACCATGAGCACCGAACGTGAACTACGAGCCCAACATCGGGAACAAACTCGCGAGCAGCGTCCAACCTTGTCAAGAGGAGGATCTGTATCCTCTCGATCATCTCATGCGTCCTTAGGTTTGGGGTTCAATTCACCCATCCAACCATCAACAACCCGCCACCGTCCTCCTGGTCATTGTCCAGAGAGTTTGGAACACATCCTGGTTGAGGTTCTCGATCTCCCTCCAGATGGTATTCTTGCTCAAGCATTGAAGCATGCAAAAATTACTTGCTTCATTGACCTCATGGCTATGACCGATGTGGCGATTGACTCTCTTGTTTATCCAAGAAGTCAAACACCTGATGATGAAGGCGATTTCCAAGATGATCAACTTGCCCTGGTACCACTGTCCATTCGCAGTCTCATCAAGGTCATCCAAGGATACGTTTACTACCGCAAACATGTCCATAATGATCCTGTCAACCCTGACAACTGCATGGATATTGACTATGGAAGTGTACTTGACTATAGGGCTTCTGGAGAGTTCTTAACTTTTGGTAATAGAACTATTCCACAACCTATTATCCAGAAACCCAGTCGTCGTACCCCTGCTGATGAATTCGATAGAAGCATCAGACGAGACCCGTCATCTTTCCCTACTTTTAGCAATGATAAGCAATGGGAAAACTACAACATGGCCGACTTATTCTGTCCAGATTCTTACTTTGATGACCCTCCAATCCCGGCAGCATTCGAAGTCAATCAGCCATATAGGCGACCGAGTGTTCTATTTGCTCCTGAAGCTCCCATCGATTTTGACATTGAAACAGGACCATTGCTTGCCAAAGATGATTTTCAAGCTCTTGCACCTGGTTTACCAAAGGATATGCTTACTATTAACGTACCTCCTACACCGAGGCGCAATCCAAGACGGAAGACTCGTTATAGTCATGGTAATCGCAATGGGGAGAGAACTGATAATGGCCCTCCCCCACGAACCAAGCAAGCACACGAACCTCTGCCACCAACTACTACGGAGTATAAGAATCCGAGCTCTGCCGTGAAGTCTCGTGAACGCGATTGGGAGCGACTGCGACGATACTTTGCATGGTTGCCTAAGCTTGTAATTCAGAAAACTTTTGACTGTACAACTCAGTTGGCTCGCATTCCCATGAGTGCCCACCTTCAACGTCACTACCGTTCACCGTTCCCAGCGCTTAATGTCAACAGACGTAATGAAGGTTTAGCCACCGATACCGTCTATGCTGACACGCCAGACATTGAACATGGACATGTGGCAGCCCAGTTCTATGTGAGACTATCCTCTCTTGATAGCGACGTCTATGGTGTCACTTTGGATGCTCAATTTCTCCAGACATTACAGGACAACGTACGGAAGCGAGGAGCACCATCCAAACTTGTGAGCGATCGGGCTCAAGCACAAGTTTCCAAAGCAGTGAAAGACTACCTCCGTTGGCTATGCATCGATGACTGGCAAAGCGAACCGCATCGCCAGAACCAGAACCCAGCCGAACGAAGATACCAAGATGTTAAACGATTAGCCAACAGGATTCTGGACCGCACCGGAGCACCTCCTACTCTATGGCTCCTAGCCCTTCGCTATGCATCTTTTGTCTACAACTATACTGCTGTCAAGGGCCTTGGATGGATGACTCCAATCCAAGCGCTGACCGGTATCACCCCAGATATTAGTGTACTCCTTCGTTTCCACTTTTATGAAAAGGTATACTATAAAACGGAAGAACCGGCCTTCCCTTCTGACTCTCCGGAGTCCCTTGGTTACATGGTAGGCATTGCTGAGCACGTTGGTCATGCCATGACCTACAAGATCCTGAACCCAGAAACGAATAAAATATTGTTTCGTTCGGAAATCCGCTCTGCTTCAACTGACACTGATCCCAACAAACGTCTTCATACATCTGATGGGGAGGACTTGTCAGCCCCTACAATAATCAAATCCAGAAACGACAAGACTAAAGTTCAAACCATTGTTTATTCCAGTGACGACGAATCAGACTCTGAAGACGTTCTTGTGGAAAACAGTGATCTCATTGGTCGAACATTCCTTCTTAAACCAGATAAAGAAGGCTATGTCAGACGTGCTGAGATTGTTGAGCTTATTGACAAGCATGAGCACAACACGACCAACAAGCCTGAACATATTCGTTTTCGTGTGAGCATTAACAAAGTTTAATACGATGATATCATGGCATACAACGAGATCCTAGAGCGTTTGGAAGCCGATCTGGAGAACCCGATAGTTTGGAAGTTCAAGCGAATCATCTCCCATCAGGGACCACTTTGACCTGACCATCCATCCTACATGGGTTCGACCTACAACGTAACCATTGAATGGGAGAATGGGGAGATCACTCCCAAACCACTGAGCATCATTGGAGCCGATGACCCAGTGGCATGTGCTATATACGCTAGAGAGGACAATCTACTGGGTTTACCTGGTTGGAAACGCTTTAGAAGTATAGCAAAGAAGGAGAAGAAACTTCTAACCAAGCCAAGCTCAGATCGTTCCGTACAGCACCAAGATACATGTACGGATTCGAGATCCTGAAGGACTACAAAGATGCCCTTCGACTTGACAAGCTCCACGGCAACACCAAATGGCAGGATGCCACTAAAGTCGAGATGGATCAGCTTGCCAAGTACAAGGTCTTCATTGATTTGGGGAGGGGAACCCCAATACCAAAAGGATACCAAAAGATTCGAGTCCACTTAGTTTATGCCTGCAAGCATGATGACAGACATAAAGCAAGACTCATAGCCGACGGACACCTGACCGATGTACCACTGGATAGTGTCTACTCTGGTGTTGTTTCAATTCAAGGCTTGAAGATGATGATTTTTCTAGCTGAACTGAATGGACTGGAACTATGGGCTACCGATATTGGTAATGCCTACCTCAAAGCCTACACTAAGGAGAAGGTAGCAAGTATAGCCGGACCAGAGTTTGGACCACTTCAAGGCCACACTCTTATTGTGTCAAGAGCTTTGTACGGATTACGTTTGAGCGGAAAAATGTGGCATCAGAGGTTTTCAGCATGTCTAGAGGAAGAAGGATTCTTTCCTTGCAAGGCAGAGCCAGATATTTGGATGAGGCCAACTACTGACGGGTCCTCTTACGAGTATGTGGGAGTGTATGTTGACGACCTAGCAATGGCAATGAAAGACCCACAAGCTTTTGTAGACAAACTGATCAAAGTCTACAAGTTCAAGCTGAAGGGCACAGGACCACTTGAGTTCCACCTTGGATGTGACTTCTACAGGGACAAGCATGGGGTACTTTGCATGCACCCAAAGAAGTACATTGACCGCATGGTAGATAGCTACCAACGCATGTTTGGTCAAAGGCCAAAGACCAACGTGTGGTCACCGTTGGAGAAGGGAGATCATCCAGAATGCGATACATCCGAGTTACTTGACTCTGAAGGAGTCACTCAGTATCAATCGTTGGTTGGTCAGTTCCAATGGGCAGTCTCTTTAGGAAGACTGGATGTCACTACCGCGGTAATGACTCTGTCGAGTTTTAGATCAGCACCCAGAGTTGGTCATTTGAACCGTGCAAAGCGGGTTTGTGGCTATCTAGTAAAGTTCAAGGAAGCTTGTATCCGTTTCCGCACTGGACTACCCGATTACAGTGATGTCCCAGAACCTGTATTTGATTGGGCCGACTCTGTATATGGCTGTCCAACTGAAGAGATTCCAAGAGATGCACCCCCCCCCACTTGGGCTTGCAGTCATCCTCACTCACTATGTGGATGCAAATCTCTACCACTGTCTTTTGACAGGCCGGTCGGTTACGGGTATCATTCACATGATGAATGGGACTCCAATCGATTTCTTTTCAAAGAAGCAGTCAACCGTTGAGACTGCTACTTATGGTTCTGAGTTTGTGGCTGCCCGAACCTGTGTTGAACAGATTATGGACCTTCGGCAGACCCTGAGGTACCTTGGTGTGCCAGTCAAAGGTCGAAGCTACATGTTTGGCGATAATGAATCTGTTGTGAACAGTTCTTCCCGACCTGAAGCAAAACTACACAAGCGACATGTTGCATTATCATTCCACCGTGTGAGAGAAGCAGTAGCATCCAACATGTTATCGTTTATCCACATTGACGGTGTTCTCAACCCTGCTGATATTCTCAGCAAGCATTGGGGCCATCAGCAAATTTGGCCATTATTACGGACTCTAATGTTCTGGTCTGGTGATACTGCTGATCAAGAGGAATAGGTCCTCTCACTTTGTCCCATTTGGGGAGTGACAGAATTCTAATAGGAACGGGACTCGTGACTCGACCTATAGGATTACCAGGTTGAAGTGTAGCCTGTGCCTTGCACGCGTTGCACGTGCATGAACCGTTACACGCCAGTGATTTAGTAAAGAGAATGCTGAGTCATCAGCGTTCTGCAATATTTCTAGAGATTTGCGTGGAAAAGTGATCAACGGTCGCTTTTCTCACTGCACGTTGTTTTACCTGAATGATCTTTATCTTCTTGTGAAATAGCAGTCGCACTACAGGCTTTAAGTCTATTCATCTATTCTTCATTTATTTCTGTCAGGAACAGTAGCTGGGACAGTTGCTCCAATCTGATTAAGATTGAGCTTCTTCCCATAGTCAACATATTGATCCTGATTCTTCCATTGGGTCTTTGGTAGCAGTCTGTCTGGGCATTTTGGAGACATATGGTCTTCATTGCCACATACATAACATGCTGCCTTCTTTCCATCCTTCGGTTTCCCCTTTCCTTTTCCTTTACCTTTATTAGGTTGGTCTTTTCCTTGGTAGAGGTTCACTACCGGATTTTTACTCACTTCCATGTGAATCTTCAACATATCTTATGCTTTGCTGACCGTCTTTGGATAATAATCCACTTCTCTGCAATAGTTCGTCTGAAGATCCAGCATCAGAGGAGCTGTTCTTGTTTGATCGCGGCAATGTAGATATCCAAGTCCTCCAACTCTTTCTAGACTCTTTTGAGCCAAGTATCTGACGCCAAAATTGCCGTGTTGCTATAGTCCTGATGGAAGAGTCCAAAGGAGGTGCCGGTCTCAAGTTGGTGTTCTTGAACCGCAGCCTCCATATACGCCCCAGTTTTTGTTTGGTTGGACAAGTGGCAAAGCAGGACCTCAATATGTTTAGACACCTGAGTACCAAACGGATGGGGGATGCCCAGACCCTGCAATTTGAGAGGGGCGAGAACCATGTCACGAGGTAAGCTCCTACATATGCCGTCGGCAGGCAGACTTGAAGAACAGGACTCATAATTGACACCCATGTCGCATCATCCAGTGTAGTTAACACCATAGGATATTCCAGGGATTTCATCACTGTTGTCTTGATAAGGGGAATGACATCGTATTTGTGTAGATGCCCCGATCGCACTTGCTCAGCCCACTGTTTGGCGATACTCTTGAGGTGGGCAACGTGAGCATGTTGATCTTCCAATGGGGCCAACATGACCCCCAAGGTTTTCTCTGCCTCATCCGGCTCCAGACAATGTAAGGCTTCCAATTCGCCAGTCAGTCCCGGTATTTGTATTGGATGATCATGTAGAAGTTGGTGCGTCTGGCGGAACCTCCATTTGCCCTCTCTGGAGTCCCACACAAAGTCAATCAACCACCAAAAGGACTTTTCTGGGTTAATTGCCCCTCCAGTAGCACTAATGCCTCCAGCCCACGTGGAAGCCGCTTGTTGGACGGAGTGGCATATATCCTCGCCAGATTGTTCCACGGACTTGCCCACTTTGATCACATCCGTGTCATCAACAAAGCAGAAGCGCTGAGCGGTGATCAGTTGAGAATCAATCGCGGTGAGGCATTGGAAGCCGAAGCCCATCGCGGTCATCATCTGGATAATGACGGAGCTGACGGAGACCCAAATGGGCGGGCCCGCTCCGTTGCCCTGGCCGCAACCCTGAAATGGTACCATGGAAGGGGGATGAAAGCTCTCTTCAGAGTCACCAAAGCCTGTCCGCACTCGGTGCGTGGACGTTGCAAGAGTGTCAAACATCATGCGCAACGCATTCCAAGTAATCGCCAGACGCATCATAGCTAACACCACAACCCAATGGACGACCCGATCAAAACACGACTTTGCGTCATTTGAAATCCAACCCGCAGAGCGGCGCTGAAGAATCAGAAGGTCCCACACAAGACGTTTAGACAGGGCAAGATCAATCGCTTGATGGTGCTTTCTAGACCTGCACTGTCCATCGGCCAAGAGGTGATGTTCTTCGCCGTAGGCCATGGCCAGACGGCCCAGTTTCTTGTAGTTCGCTTGAGATTCAGAATTCATGAGCTGAATCGTACGCATTTTTGTCAGCCAAAAGTCGCCTGGCTTCTTTGCAATAGCGAAATTCATCAGATGCCGCCAGTTGTCAGGGACAAAACCAGTTGTCAAGGGTATGTGGCGGAAGAGAGCGTCGCATTGAGCCACCATAGGGGAATAAATCCCAGCCTTGAAATGCCCGTTATGAAGCCCATGCGGTTCCGAGCCCTTGTTCTCTGGATTACGAGACCAGAAGCAAGTATGATCGGCCGGCGAAACTTCCATCGGGATCATAGAGTGCCCTTGTTGGAAACGGCACTGCTCCAGGAATGACTTAGTGTAAGAATCGATCCCATTCGGCATGGGAAGGCGGCCCTCCAGAAGTGCGTGGGAGTTCCTCTCTGCGTCTGCCCCGGTGAACATTGAATACAAGGGTTTGTCCATGGGAGGAGTCGTATAGGGCGATCGAGTCTGGTCATACCGTGCGCGATTTTCCTGCATGCACCCTTGCTCGACTTGTCTCCGGTCGGTGAGAGTTCGCAGATCCACTTGTCCGGTAGGTAACTGCTCCTCAACTTGAATCGCTTGCAAACCACCAGTAGATCCTTTTGACTGGGCGCGGCGGCGGCGTCTCGCCTCCTCTCGTTGCTTCATCCGCCGTAACCTCAAAAAGCGATCCCTAGCCTTGCGCGATGTCCATTGTTTCTTCTTAGATTTCTTCACTTGAACAGTCAAGAACTCCTTGCGCCATGAAACCGTGTGGTTTTTCTTGGCATGCAGGTACTCCTTCCTGTCATTGCGCAATGCCCCAACTGTAGTCTTCTTCCACGCGTTGGGCAACTTAGTCTTCTTCATAAGGCGACGGACTTTTCGCGAGCTGACTCTACATTGCTTCCTTCCCTTCAGTAGTAGCTTCCAGAGGGACTGGCGGTCCCAAAAATTTTGGATCTGTGGAGACCACGGGACAGCCCCATTTGTAACCCTTCGACACCTTGCTTCCGCTCTCCGACGAATATCGTACATCTGCTTGTGCAAGCAGTTATACTGGCGTCCCATTTTCTCAGTCATAATCCCACTGTTTAATATTAATTGTCTATGAAGCTACTCCAACCGCGATGGAATGGAGTACACGTCATAGCCTTGGTGAACCAGCCGGAGATAGCGTCGAACAGCCGCAGTGTCAAGCATTGTTAATTTGCGAGGCTTGTATGGTGTATTCTCCGGACGATAGCTGCCAAGAGTCCGTTCCAAATCAATATCAATCCACAGACCGCGATGATCACAGGCGAAAAATTCATCAAAGTTGTAGTAGCCGCCCGCTTGAATCACCACTCCGGAAGTTGCGAAAATCCCATCAATGGGTCTGCCACGTTTGTTGCGATGCTGGGTTGCTGCAGTTCGACTTGGATGACATTGTAGGATTGCTTCCTCCAATCCTATGCTGCGAAGTCACTGGCGAAAAGAGGAATCCTGGTATGAGGAGACATCCTCATTAGCGTCCACGCCCACAATCACTTCGCACCCCTCGTCGCGCCATTGGGTGATCGCACATAAAAGGTTCACCATAAACGCCTCCCTTGGATCACGCTGTCTGCCTTGAGAGCGGAAGAAGCTGCGGTGTTGCGCCCATACGTAGATTCGCCCTTACCGGGGGTTTACCGGGGGGTTAGAGAACCGGCTACATGACACATCGGCAGCCTCATTGACTTGGTTATCCGAGGATGGCATATCAAACTTCTTGCCTTGAAGGCGCACGTACGCCCACCTTCCCAACTTGGACGGGTCCCTACCACATGACTTGGCTCGATGTGCCAACCACCAAGTCTTTAGAGAACCGGCTACATGACGCATCGGCAGCCTCGTTGACTTGGTTATCCGAGGATGGCATATCAAACTTTCTTGCCTCGAAGGCGCACGTACGCCCACCTTCCCAACTTGGACGGGTCCCTACCACCTGACTTGGCTCGATGTGCCACTGAATTCAAGACAGTGGCGACGCATCCTCCATACTGAGAGCAAGACGCAATTGGCCGGGCGCGATTCTCATTATGTGCCGTCGCCGAATAGTACCCCTTGGGCCCAACTTGTCGCATCCTATCGTTCCAGTTATGACCTTCAGGTAGAGAAGGCCAGTGCGTGTTGGTCTCAGCCAACAACGCAGTTCCCACTTTGTTCATCTTTCAGCCACTGATTAATCTGTAACTGCTTCCGCCCTGTCGACACGGCCGGGAGGCCATTGACATTTTGGAAGACCAGGCGGGTCAGTGCAGAACGGTGACAGCTGTGATCATCACCGAAGAAATCGCCGGCGGGAAGAGAACGTAAAAATTCCTCTACTGATGCATGGGGGACATCAGTCGAGGGGCCACTTAGTCGAGATCTTCTGCCTGCACGCCGTGACCGAGCGGCAGACGATCAATGACCTCTCATGGCCCTGCCATGGAGCGGGAGGCTCCACGGCTGGCCAATGGCTTCTTCTTCCTTCGTTTACTCTTAGTACGGTCAGAAGGAGGAGAGTGTTGAGGATGACGGAAGATGGGGAAGACCGGGGATGGGGAACCATCCGAGGGATTGTCAGAGAACCGAGAACTGGCCAGAGACGGAGTAAAGGACCCTGGACCAGAGCCTGGGTCCAACGCATCGCTATGGTCCGAGGTCAACAGCGTCCTTGCTGTGTGATCCGGAGTCACAAGTTCCCTCCAAGAAGCAGCAGCGGTGGTGTCTCGAGGCGGAGGTTGGTTGGCGATGGCCGTAGTAGCCCGAGGTGGCGAATTTGGTAGGGGGGCGGTGAGTGGACTGGACTTGACGCGGAGTTGGCTCCTTCGCGGCAGAATCGGAAGCTGCTGACTCTGACCTGTCCTGGGAAAAGGAAACCGTGGCTGCAGGTTGAGGAGGCAAAGCCGGCTGCGCCTCTTGGCTCAAAATAGTCTGTTGCAGGAGGCGCAGAGCCGCCAGTTCGTTGGCCAGGGACTCAGACCAAATTCGTTCAGCTTCCAAAGCGCTGCTCTTTTCAATCAAAAGATTCTCCTTAAACTCAATTTCAGTGATTGGTGCTTCCAATTGACTATCCTTCTCAAGTAACTCATCCATGGCGCCTGCTACTGTAGCTCCATCATCGATATCTTTTGCATCAGCCATTTCCATATCAAATTCCAGCTTAGCTTCGGCAACGTCGAGTGGGTCAGACCCAAATCCATCAAGGAAATCGATAGCTTCATCAATGTCTTGTAGAGTTTGGTCCGATGGTCAAGCCCGTAAAGTCTCCAAGCACCACACAAGTTCCTTGCGGCGTGTCGTATGGATCAGAGACATGGACAGCCACTTTGCAATCACCCTATTGGCTTGAGTAGTCGTCAACTCCCCCAAATGATGCGTAAAGAATGGGACCAGTCCATTCAGTACATTCGTTGCCAAGGCAGCATATTTCAGCCTACTGATGAACAAGTAGGTCCCTTCCATCTCACCTGGTAACACCATGATGAACAAGGGACTAGGAACGTTGTTCTCCAAGTCCATTTTTCTCTTCCTCTCCGCTTCCTTAGCACGAAGCTGCTGCGCAGGGGTGAGAACCGGACCGTCATGCTCCAGAGTCGGTGCCACGGCCGACTTTGGAGGTTGCTTCTTGCTCTTTGTCTTCCCTTTGACAGTCACTTTGGTGAACTTGTGGGAGACGTCCTCCAGCAAGGAATCATCAGAATCGGAATCCGAGTTCACATCCGCAGCTGCCACTTTCTCCGCGTGAACAGGTCGGGCTTTGATGGAAAGAAACATGGACAAACAAGTGCGAGGACCAAAGGCTTTGGTAGTTGTTTGTTTCAACATCCCTGGAATCTCAACTGGACAATATTTGGCCTGTGTCAGTTCCACAAAGTCGTTATGCTTCAAAATCATAGTGAGATTCTCATCCTTAACCGGACCCACGGCCTTCACGCTGATTGTCCCGTTCTGAGCAGCCTTCCAATCGCTAATGTAGTGTGTGACCGCGCACCATGGGAAATCTTTCTTAGGGGTAGACGGGTGCAGCCATAATCGTAGTTCTCGATCCGCTCGCTTAGCGTCCCTTGATCTGACGTAAACGTGCCACATCATGCATCCGGGCGATCGTTCATTCCACTTGCTGTGGCGAATGTTTACCCATTTGTACCGCAGGCCGATAACCGTCTTCCAGTCAAAGTGTCGCATTAGTTCTTTCTCCATGGCCCTGATGTTAATTTCCTGTGGATAGAAGCACAGAGCCCCAATCATTTCAATATTGTCAAACTGTAGAACAGATTCATAGCATCCCGCTCCATACCCTTGCGGACGCAATTCGCCGTGTAGATATTGGCAAATCGTTCCTGCCGCCACCTCAACCTCAAAACCCACTCTCATCCTTGTACAAAGCTTCTTTTCGCCTGGCTTATTAGAAGTCAAGGCGTATGACATGTTGCTAAAAGACATGTCCAGATACTTGGACAAGCTCCGGTAATCAGGAATCAGCCGTCAAAGATCCGCTTCCGTTCGGATCCACTGCTTAGACTTCTTGTAAGCGCTGTCAGACAAGGGAAGAAAGCGAATCGTCTCCTCCGCGTTCTTTAGGACGTCTGCCAGCGTATCCAGAATATGGTTCAAGATAATAGAGGCATGAGTCGTGTTCCCCCCTTGTTGACCTTGATAGCTGTATGCCATTCCCAGTTCAACCAGAATAGCCTGACCATCCATGCCGTCCAAGTTGACTTGTCGCAGCCCATCTAGGCGTTCTTCCAATGTCAAGCTGCGTTGTAGTCTTCGTTTGGCCTTAGAGCTTTGCGTCGTGGAAGTGGTGTCCGTTTTTTGTGCGGTTTGTGTGGTTGATTGTGAAGCAGACGCTGAATGTGTACGTTTAGCACTGGGTTCACTCAAAGAGCTCCTGTCCACATCCATTTCTGTAGATGGAGCGACCACCAAAACCCTGTGGGACCGTCCCTTCTTCCTCAGCGGAGATGCCAATTCAGGGTCCTTGTCTTCACCAGTAACACCGGTCAGTTTGGAAACTGCCTCATCCGTATTCAGGCCCATGTTGTTGGTGTCTTGTTGTTTGCAGTATCCGTAAGCTTGTAAGTACTTTCCACAAGAATGACAGAATCCTTGGTCGATTTGTCAGTATCCTCGTCATCCTCCTCCACCTCGCCCTTGTCGTCGTCGTTGTCGTGGGTGCGATTGTCACCAGAAGCAAGTTTGCCGTCTATTTCCATGTCATTCCTCCTGTCGTTTGAGTTGTCGTCAACTGTCTTGTCAGAGTCCCACCCATCGGGTTGGCTGAACTTATTGACAAGGCCAGTGTCCTTGTCGCCCATTGGATCATCTTCCTCCTCAGAATCTTTGTAATCAGGATCAAATATCTTTTTGACCCCCTTGTGAATATCCACCTTATTAGTTTCGTCGTTGGGAAATCCCTCAATCACCTTCAATTTTATTTCTTGAATGCAAGAGATTGGGGATTCCTCGAGAAAATTCGTCAAAAAGCATCGTCCATGGGTGATCAAATATGGAAGCGCACATCAACCAAAACTGCACCAGAGGAGTAGGATTCGTCTGATTGTCCCTCAACAAATAAAGATCTTCTTGTGGCACTTTGGAATCGTTTATGAGGCCAACATCAAAAAAGGAAAACGGAATATGCTGGGCGACTTGCAATGCAATTGCTCTCACTCCCCATGTGTATTCTGTATTTTTTCAACATTTCCCAAAGAGTCATCGTCAAAAAGCGAAATTAGGAATTTCAACACCTGCCGCCAATCGTTTGCATATTGAGCGAATAGCATGTTAACCCTGACTTCAACTGAATAATTAGCGTAGAGGTCCTTGAACGGGCTGTCAAACCTTGGGAGCGTTTGGGTCCACCAATCATTATGATTTTCCATCCATTGATTGAAAATGGAGTTGCCAAACAAAATCTTAGTTGAATTATAGTTGTAGCCAATAGCAATAAATTTGTGAGTAGATAAACCAAAGTCGATCAGTGGTGGAAGAGATACAATCAGATCTTGAATCTCCAAATCATTGTTGACACTAGGATCCCTGTCCTTAGGTTGACGTAAATCAACTGCAGATGCATTTTCCAATCTTTTCTTTCCGCTCTTTTGGGTCTTGAATCTCCAAATCATTGTTGACACTAGGATCCCTGTCCTTAGGTTGACGTAAATCAACTGCAGATGCATTTTCCAATCTTTTCTTTCCGCTCTTTTTGGTCTTGAATCTCCAAATCATTGTTGACACTAGGATCCCTGTCCTTAGGTTGACGTAAATCAACTGCAGATGCATTTTCCAATCTTTTCTTTCCGCTCTTTTTGGCAACAGAAACCGATTTGGGTGTGAATTGTGATGGAAACAGAAAGATGCGATTTGTGAATTGTAAGGGTGTGTATGTGTTGGAGCAACTTGGAGCGAATGTTGAACCAGGTGCCAAAGAGACAAGTGCGATGTACCGTCGCCAGTGAAGCAACTTAAATAATCAACCCCATTTCGATTTTTCTTCAAACAAACAGAATGGATATGCTGGACTCAAGATGACCTCCAAGATGGCAACCGTTTGAAAGAACAAGGAAGGATTCACTCCAAGACAAGTCAAGGCTGCAATGGAAACGAGAAGTGCAATGCACATACTCAATGCTCCAAGCACCAAAAGTCTGAAGTATGCAATCCGATCTGGTCTCATCAAGAACTATCCTATCACCGAGGAAGCGATCAATCATGCCGAAGCAATCTTTGGACCTGACGCCTCTACATTGAAAGGCAAGTCAACAAGACCAACTCCAAAGAAGACGTACGACAACTTCTTCAGTCCACCAGAGGAATTATATCAGCACAATCGATCTATTACCGTCTGTATTGATCACATGGAGACCGAGAATGCTAAGTTTCTCACCTGCATTGATACCACTGTGCGTTATCGCTCATGTATTCCTGTGCAGAACCTGCAATTCGATGGAACCCTGAAGTATCGAAGCAATTTACATTGAACCTACAAAGGGACAACGTACTGGGCACCAAGTGCTCAACCTCAATACTAAGAAGATGATTTCCCGACCCAAGGTCGTTGTACTACCCGTTACCAACCAAGTAATCCAGCGTGTTGAAGCTTGGGCTGCTGCCAAAGGTGTTACTTCCATGAAGTTCTTTGATAAGAAGAGAGATTTGGAGACATATCAAGATGGCGATCAAATTGCAGGAGTGGATGACACAGAACAAGGTTACTTAGAAGAAGCCTTTGATCAGGACTATGAACCTGAAGATGAAGATGAACGTGATTTCAATCTACATGGACAATTTGATGATATCAATGACTCCGAAAGAGAAGAGCTCTTGGCAGATGCAGACAATGGTGTCGATGATATGCCAGAACTCACTGTCAGATTCCAAGGAGATGATGACTATGAATCAGACGACAATTCAAGTGATGAAGGCAACAAAGAGGAAGAACCTATTGTGGCCAATTTGGATCACCATCAAGAAAATGTCGATAGAGGAACCGATGATATTGGGAGCCTCGTTACTGATCTGGAGGACCTACAAGAACCGCCAGAAGAAGAGATTGTATTTGAGCCTGAAGAGCCTCAAGTAGCAAAAGTCACTTGATCTGGGCAAATGTATGCGCAAGCTGCAATGTCTGGGCCAAACCTTTCCCAAGTTCCAAAGAGACCAAGAGAATGGCCTTTGAGCAGGAGTGGCAGTTCTACCAATAAGAACAAGAATCGAGTTGCGACAAGACGCAAGCATCGAGAAAGAGAATTGAAACCCTTGAAGAACAAGTTAAAATCTGGTATTTGTACCAAAGAAGGAAGTCACAGTACTAAAGACAGTAAAACTATCCTTGAAGCACAGCACAATCTATGTTTCCAACAGATTGGGAATGAGATGAAAGCTGATTATGAATAGCACGACGCTATTCTGATCGCTTGTTGCATGATGCAGATTAAGGCCAAATTTGATACTGACAAAGGTCTGAACTTCATCCAACAGTGTTACATCTATCAGGGACTGAAGAAGTTTGGTGATGATGGAAAGGATGCTGTGGATAAGGAATTGAGACAAATGCTCCTAAGAGATTGTTTCACTCCCGAATTTGTTAAAGACATGACCGCGTCTGAGCAAAAGAAGGCCCAATCAGCGATGATGTTACTTGCGGAAAAGCAATTTGAAAAGACAATTAAAGGTCCCCTAGTATACCGAGGCAATGGAACTTGTGAATGGTTATCGCAAGAGGACACTGTAAGTCCAACTGCTTTGCAGGAAGCAATCACCACTACTTGTGTTATTGATGCACACGAAGGTAGAGATATAATGATGATGGACGTGTCTAACGCTTTCATTCAAACTTATATGCCTGAAGCTAAGGAAGGAGAAGATCGTATCTACATGAAAATAACTGGCATGATGGTCCAGATATTGATTGACATGGCCCCAGAGTATCGCAAATACGTTGTATTAGAGAACGGAAAGCGAGTAATATATGTGCGGGTACTACGTGCTATATATGGGATGTTGCAATCAAGCCTCCTATTCTATAATCAGTTTCAAAGTGATTTGGAGACAAAGGGATTTGTGTTCAATCCATATGACCCGTGTGTTGCTAACAAAGTTGTTGATGAAAAACAGCAAACTATCAGGTTGTTGGTGAAATGGGATCTTGATAGGTAAAAGAACAGTCGAACATGTCGGACAGTTAAGTCGGACATTGGTGATATCAAACACGGACAGAAGTACGGTTCGAGTACGTACAGAGATGGATAAGTATTGAAGGTAGATCTACTCTGTGACTAGTTCGTGAAGAACATGTGCGTATGTGCTTTATATGCCGCGACAGCTGGTGAGAG